ACTGCTTCAGCGTCATCTACTCCGGCACCGCTGACGTTGGCTGCGTCGGTAAGGTCGTCAAGCACGAGCGCCTCGTTGACGACCGCTTCTTCCTAATTTGCAAAGTCCAGGAGGAGGAGGGGTCTCTGGTGGGCTGAAGAGAGAAAAGGAAAACGAGAAAATGAAAACAAGTTTTTTACGTTTTCAAATTTTCAGAAAACAACAAAAACAGTTTTGTTTTTGTTTTGTAAAATTTTTTATGCCAAACGCATTTCTTATACACGTTTTCAGTTTTTAGCCTCGAAAAATGTGAAAAATGAAAAGGAAAACATAAATAAACAGGGCCTCTGTTTCTCTTATTTCCATTGCTTTTTGAAAACGGGTTTTTATCATTTTCCTTTTTTCATTTCCGTTTTCATCCCTCTCCCATCTACCATCACAATCGGCCACCGTCTGTCGACATCCACCACCAAGCGTCAGCCAACCTACTCCTCGTTCGCTGAAATTCCCGTTTTCCTGGTGTTGCTGAGATTCTGGTGTTGTCAAAATTCCCGTCGACGTCCGCCACCAAGCGTTAACTCAAAATTCTGGTGTTGTTGATCTTGGCAATCTTGAGCCTATTCTCGGATTTGTTCTTCACTAGGAGTCTGATCTCCTGGCCGCTTGTTGATCTTGGTCGGATTTGGAGTGATACAGTGAAGTGATGAATGAACGAATAAAAGCTAAAGATACGTTTGATTTATATATTATAATCATGTGATTAAAACCATTTTCGATTTACGTGTATTTTTTGTGAGAGAAAACATTGTAGCAAACGATGAACTATGATTTAAATCATGATTTGAATCCTCCAACCAAATATCCCCTAAAAATATGGAGGCGAGAGAGAGAGAGAAAGAGAGAGAGAGGGTAGGAGGTTGAGAGAGACACAGAGAGACGTAGAGACATTAACACCTAGACTAAACTCTTGGGGCCTGGACTTACACGTGCACATAACTGACCACACCAAATTTCAGTTTTTTCTCATTTTGAAAACAATTTCAAAATAAAATTACCAAATACATTTTTAAAAATAATTTCAAAATAAAAATGAAAACGTTTTCATTTTTATTTTAATACAGAAAATAAATTCATTTTAAAACGAATTCCAAACACACCAAATATTTTTTTTTTTAGCTTTAAGGATCGGTAATTGGTGCTTTTTTTTTTTGCTTGGTAATTGGTGTTTTCCTGGTCACTTGTGCAGTTACATTTAGGGGTGGCAATTCGTGTTAACAGGTCGTGTTCGTGTCGTGTTGAACTCCTCAGTTGACACGAATAGGTCTAACACGAACACGACCCGTTTATTAATCGTGTCAAAATTCTAAACCCAAACACGACCTGTTTATTAGCGGGTTGACACGACACGACACGATTAACCCGTTTATTAAACAGGTCGTAAACGTTTCGTGTCAACCCGTTAAGTACCTGTCAACACGTTTACGAAACAGGTCATAAACGGGCCGTGTCAACCCGTTAATTACCTGTCAACACGTTTATGACCTGATTATTGTCAACACGTTTGAACCTATATCATAACCTATTTCAGAACCTATTTTTGAATATGTTTCTCAACTTGTTTAACATGATGTAGAGACATTACATAATCTAAGTTCAAAATTAAAACAAACACATTAGAGTCTCTAACAAATTAAAAAATAAACACATAAAAGTCTCACAATTTAGAAAACAAACATACATGATTAATAATTAAATATTTAAATAATTTGCTGCAGTGGGGGGACTCCAAGTGCATCATTACGTTTAGGAGAAGTTGATCCCTGTGAGAAAGGCTCCTCTTCTTTCAATGAAAAGTTGAAGATATCTTGTGTAAGATCCTCCACCTCTTCATTGAAATCTACACAAAAATAAATATATATAGATACACAAGTTAGTTCAAAATCAATATAGAAAATATACATAATTTAAGTAAGTTTGAAACTACCTTTGTCTCCATATAACCAATCTCTGGTACAAACAAGTGCTTCAACTGTCTTTGGTTTAAGTGAGCTACGAAATGAATCAAGAACTCTACCACCAACACTAAATGTAGCTTCAGAAGCAACTGTAGAAACAGGGACAGCCAATATATCACAAGCCATAGAAGCTAGTGCTGGATATCGAAATTGGTTTGATTTCCAAAAGGAAAGGATATCAAGATCCGCGGTCCTAGCCAATCTTGGCTCATCCAAATAAAGGTCAAGCTCTGATTTCTGTGATACGGTAGTAGAGTCAACTGAAGACATCTCATCAAATTCCTACAAAATGAGAA